CCCACACACGCACATCCACACCCAGCCACCCACACCCACACCCACACACGCACATCCACACCCAGCCACCCACACCCACACCCACACCCTCTTTCTATGACTGACGATGGTTACTATTCAATACATAGACTGATCTTTTATGGCTTTAGCGTCAGTCGCAAAGATAAAAATCTTTCTTAATGAGATAATGATGCATTTGTAGCAAAGTCCAATTACAATGTAAGATCGTATTCGGCAGCGTTTTACTACATCCAAAGTTAAGGATAAATACTGTCAGTTTGTCGCCTACTTTAGCTCACAAACAACAGTATTAGGTGAATTTATGATAGAGATACAGTCGTTTTGATCGTGTTAGGTATTATTATTTTAATTAATAACTTGATTATCTCATGTTTTACGACGAGAACTGAACAGATGTTAAATATAGTATAAGTGGATATCTAATAATTTTTTTTTCTTTTTAGTTTATTTGAATGGACGGAGACTCAGAAGAGAGTGTATATAATCATGATGAATTAACACGAATAATTTATAGCAATCATCAAATACGTCATATGGTGCAACAAAAAACAAATGAATTTTCATCATTACAAAGAGACTTTTTTAAAGCTTTGGGGAATGAACGGTTCGATTCTACGTTAGAGCAAAAGTCAAAGCTCTTAACTGATTCGTTGAAACTTGACTCATTAAATGAACAAGTTACAGCCGATAAGGTACAATTAGCGTTAGTCGGAGAAAACTCATGTGGTAAAACAGCGCTAGTACATTTTCTTTTGGATTCTGGCCAATTTCTTCCGTCAGATGTTGGATCAGTTAGTGCACGTGTTATTCGTTTAACTTATTCAAGTGATACAGAATCATGTTTACGTGTTTATGAATCATTAGAGAAACGAAATGAAGAACCGACTGATCAAATTAGTTTAAGAGATTGTTTTCTCGATTCGGAACCCGACTGGAACGCCTTAAAAAATGTGATTGAATCCTATGTTAAACGACCAGATGCAGAAAAAGTTGAAAAGGATTCCTATCAGTTTGCAGAATGGGCTAAAAGGTTTGTTGAAATACGAATACCATCAAAATTTCTCAAACTGGGCATAGATTTATATGACACACCTGGTTTATTATATTCTGATCCACCAATTTTAAAAAAAAATCTACATGATCTCGTTAAACTAATTCGACCAACAGTAGTTTTTATGTATGAGAATCCATCCGTGCCGACTGTTACAAAAGACTGCTTTTTAGCACTAAAAGAAGCACTTGGTAAACAACTCGAGGATACGAATATATTTTTCTTAAATACAAAAGTTGATATTGGCTCGTTAATTACTAACGGTACAAACATAAGCAAAGCAGAATTCGAAATAATAATATTGAATAAAGCACGACAAAGTCGCAAAGATCTTCTTTTGAAAGCACCTGGAATGGCTCAAGAAATAGATGATAATAACGGATTTAATATTATTTCTGTCGATTCCGGATGGAGTCCATTAGGAGAAATAATGAATAAAATAACCATTAATCATATAATCCAATTTGTTGCGAATGCCGATTTGAAAGTAGCAAAAACTATAAGTAAAAGTGTTCTCTCAGTGATAAATACGTTTTTTGAGTTTACCATGGTAACGAATCATCGAACGTTGGAACAATTAAAAGAACTACGTCAAAAGGCACACCAATGGACAAATGATTACTTTATGGAACATCGGAATCGGTTAGATGCAACCTTACGAAAACTATTTGATGACATTATTAATGAATTAAATGAAAACATGGATAGTATTATTCGGCGAGCTGCAAATAAAGACAATGCGAAAAACATTCGAAAGTACATCAAAATTTTGGTACAGCAAGAAATTATTCGCGTTCAGGTTAAGAAATTTATCGACATAAAAGCTATTGACGCGATCGTGGAGACACTCTTTAATCCATCAATATTAAACAATGCCGATAAGAATGAACTGACAGTTGCCGCTCAACAAATGATTCCTAGTGAACTGTTGAATACTGATGATGAGACATCATGCCAGTTGTATATTTGTATCAATATCATTGAAAGCTTTATATTAATTCGCGGTTTACTTATCGAAACTGATGACGAGGATGAAAAATCGAACTCGAAGAAGGAAAACAAAAATTTTAATGAATTGAAGTGTAAAATTCGAGAGAAATCAATTAAAATTAGTACTCCTTTAAAAAATGCCACTCCGTCTGATATTGCTCAACAGTATCTTAGTGATATACGATCAGGATTCATCAATCAGAAAAATTATCTCAATGAAATATTTCAAGTTTGGTCTGACCAAAAAGCTAGTCAGTTACATGAAAAAATAGATCAGCAATATGAGTTAGCGGAAAATTTTTTACCTCAAAGAGAAAAAGTATTCAATACAGTGAACAAATATGCTGAAAACTATGCTTATATCGAATGTAAAATGGTTATGGCACGCGACCTAATGACCTTCAATGGACGTTCTCCAACTGTGAATAGTGTACAACAAATATTTGCTAATGAAAATAGATTCTGTGAGTTCTATCCAGCTGAATGGTTTGAAAAAAAGAATTTAATTGTTAAGAAAATCAAAGCTCATGGCAATAACTTAAAATATTTAGACGCACATTATCATCGAAAAGTAACTCAATTAGACCATTTACGTTTTCTTCAATTACTACATCTTTATGAAAATGAAAACAGCGAATTGTGGATGTTCTTTCCAAAATATGAATCTGTAGAAAATAATATTGAAACATTGACAGTTAATAGTATGTTCAAAATTATATTAACAGTTGCACAATGTATTGAAAAAATGCATGCAAGTGAACTAGTTCATGGAAATATCAGTATGAAAAATGTCTTTCATAATGAAAAGGACGAATATTTACTAGGTGATTTCTTTCTGAATGAGACTTACGATACACTGGCAGAATACGTCGATAGACATAACATCAATAAGACACTTGAAGCAACTGCAAATGATATTTTGTCCCTTGGCAATATGGGTTTACTTCTGTTTCAAGCATCGAAGTCAACCAATACAGTTGATTCGAAAGCATCAGAAAAACTGAAAAGCGTACTTGAACAATGTTTGGATAAAGATACAATGGCGAGACCAAAAATATCAAGCATTGTGCTGAAACTAAAGAATTTATCGGAAGCATTTCGCACTGAAAGATCTAAAGAACATTCAGATTAACAAATAAATAGCGTTTCTTAACTAATGACCACCATACATATGCAAAACTAATTAATTTGTGTTATAATTTTTCATTGTCTATTTCATCCTATTTTCCCATTTGCTGTCTTTAATATAATTTTAAATCGTTCTACATTTTAGATTGATTTCTATCTATCAAGATTTATCGATCATTCAATGCGACAACATCTGCCCTAAGGCAAGTATTAACTGTAAATATATAGTTTTGTCATACAGCCCCAGTAATAATACATAACTCTGTTTTTGTTCCTTTCTAAGAATTATATGGCATCATTTGTACCAACAGTAACATTCAACGATGCACTGCAAAAGTCTGAATGTCGTCAGTTAACTAGTGCATCGAACCAAATAAAACGCACAATTGAATTCGATAGACATATCAAATTTTCAGTACAACAAATAACAAATGATTTTTTAAGTATATATTTAGACTTTCAAACAAATTTACCTAAATTGCCGCGAAATGACGTCTTAGAAGAACTATACAATGAATCATTGAAATCACCTGATTCGAACATTTTAGATAAAAATCCGTTTCATGAACGAGTTCAATTGGTCATTTGTGGACCTAATTCAAGTGGTAAAACAACATTTTTGCATTCATTTCTTGAGATAAACAATATCTTACCAATTGATGCCGGTCCAGTCACTGCTCGAATAGTAAAATTTACTTATGCTTCTCCCTCAGACGCATGTTTGTTTGTCTATCCATCAATTCAGCAAACATATTCGGAACGCTACCAACCAGAAGAAAGGGTATCTTTAGCCGAATACTTCACAACTCCAACCATAGATTGGAAAGGAATCGGAGAAGCTATATATTTACATGTTGCCCGACCTAAAGTTAGTGAAAATGAATTTACTAATTGGGCAAGAAAATATGTCGAAATACGAATCCCTTCACCAACGCTTGAATTGGGCATTGATGTCTATGACACACCGGGTTTATTGTTTCATGATTATGAAATACTCAAAAACAATCTACGGGAATTAGTTAAATATATTCGGCCTACACTTGTCTTCTTGTATCCAAATTCAACATTTGATAAGGATGCGAATGAAAGTTATTTGACAATTCGAGCAGCACTGCAGGACCTTGAACAACTTCCTATATTTTATTTGAATACGAAACAAGATATAACAACTTTATTTAATGGAGCAGGTATCATTTCGAATCGAAAAAGTGCTTTTACAGTGCGTAAATATCAAGAAATTTTTCCGAAAGAAAGGTTGAAACGTTATCATACGCTTTATGAAGCGATTGGAATGGCGAATAATTTACCAAAAATAGAAAATGATGCGTCAGTTCAAGCGTTTAATGAAAGATGCGATAATTTTGATATATGTAGCTTACTTGGATATCAGCCATTATCAGAATGTGCTGCAGAAATGACTAAGCAAGCTTGTCAACGGATTGTTGAATTCTCTATAAAGACTGAGATGACAAATACATGGAAGATGGCTGATTCTGTTTTAATCATGCTCGAAAACTTTTTTAATTTTACAAGAATAGCCAGCTACAGAACCAAGGATCAGTTGGAAAGAACGTATTCTCATGCGAAAACATGGGGCGAACACTTTTTTCAACAATTCGAAAATGATTTGTCAAAATTAGCTGAGAAAATTCATAATAATATGCTCCGACGCTTTGATCAGCACTCATCTAATATAATTGAGCGAGCAATTAAGTTAGATCGTTGTGATGATCCATTGCAAAAGAAAACGAACGATATTATTACTAAAAATATTAAACAATTCATTGGCATCGCTGTTCAAGAAGAAGTATTAAAAGTTGCAGCCGACGAAGTGATCAGCAATGCTCAAAGTAGTTTCCAGTTGAAAATAAAAAAGGAAATATTAATTGACAAAGATCACAACGAACTACTGACGAATGCACAACGTCAAATTCTAAGAGATATGTCATTGGATGATGTAGTTCAGCGTGGTTGGATTCAAGAACTGGCAAACCAACTCTGGATGACACCTTCAGTTATAATACGTACGATGCGTGGTCTCTGGACACTGCAATATACAGAATATTATAATAAAGTTACTGAGAAAATCTTCGAATCAAGACAACAATATTTTCAATATATAGATGCAATGGACTCATTTTTTATTTTAAATGACGAATCAAAGCGACGTGAATTGGCTGTCGAATACTTAAAGAAAAAGCGATCGAACATCGAAATGGAAAAAAGTTTGTACGTTGAAAATTTACGAGCATGGATTATTCTACAAAACCAAAGGTTTAATAATAACATTGATTATAACCGTAAATTGATTTTATCACATTTAAACAAGAGAAACGAGGTTTATACATTAGCTAGCAAATATATGAAACGTTTTGCCGAAGTAGAATGCAAGTTAGTTGCACTTCAACACTTATGAAAATTCAATGGAGAAAAACCTGTTATTAACGAAACACAAGAATTAGGACAAGGAACCCATTTTGTTGTCTGCTCAGCGGAATGGTCGACAGAGAAAAATTTAGCTGTTAAAAAATTAAAATCATCATCAAAAGAATATTTCTTTTTGCAATATTTAGAGGCTCATTATCAAAGAAAGATTACTCAACTTCGACTAATTAATGCTTCTCAAGGTGATGATGTGATGCCAGAAGTCAGACTGCCACGCGTTGTTCCTTTACTATATCTCTATCATGCGTATTCGCAAGGTAGCGATGATTTATATATATTTATGCGAAAATACGAACAGAGTTTACAACAGTATCTACAAAATAATATTATCAAAATAAAACCTGACTTTGTACTTAAGGTTGCTCTTGATATGATTGACGTTTTGATTCTGCTACACGAGAATGAAATTGTTCACCGTGATATAAAGGCCAAAAATATATTGATGGATGAAAATGAACAATGTTATTTAGCTGATTTTGGTACAGCAAAAGAAACATATTTAAATTCAACGGTTGTTGGAACGTTTCCATTGGCACCGGAAATTCAACCTAATTCGCTTTACGACGGTACGGCCGCAGATATTTATTCATTTGGCATTTTCCTTTACGAAATGTTACCGAAGCCTCATTACGATCGTCCTAGTATTGCATCAACGGCTAAAAGCTTGTTGAAAAATATGAAGCCTTTAGATCCAAACAATCGGATGTACGAAGAACTAATAGAATCTTGTTTGAATCCATCAGCTAAGGATCGGCTACATGCAAGAACAGTAAAACTACAATTGGAAAAATGCGTTAAAGAATTTGAAAGGAAGACCTGTACAATGTGTGAGGATAATTTAAGAATATGCCGTTTTCAACCATGCAAACACAAGCTTGTTTGTGAGTTGTGTTTTAACAACTTACAGACAACTACGAATGGGAAAAAGAATTGCATTCTATGTGCAACGCCTATTGAACGTTGGACACGAGATGATAACAATGAAACCTATTTTGGTGGAGAAGAATAGACTTTTGGTTTTGATCCACACAAAATATTTACCAATCCATATGTGTGCATTAAGGAATTACCTAAAGAATTTTAAAGATGTCCTATTTTCGATTTTGTTTTTATAATTTTTTTTAAACAAGAACTGACATTATGAATGTTTAATGGCAAAATTCAATAAAGATTTTTTAAGAGCATCATTCTTTTCCGATGTCCACGTCACAGTTTATCTTGCGCATCCAACAAAAGCAGAGGGATTCTTGGCGTTAAATAAAAACTTCAAGTCAGTATTATTCTAAGGTTTGGGTGTTCGTGTGTGATAAGAAATGTCGCTGTTCGACGACAACAGTTGTTTCCATCGATAGCAAGGATGTGGGTGTGGGTGGGTGTGGATGTGGGTGTGGGTGGGGTGTGGGTGTAGGCGTGGGTGTAGGTGTGGGTGTGCAGTGTGGGTGGGTGTGGTTGTTGCTCTTTTCTTTCCAGCCAAAACCTACACCCTCACCCACACCCATACCTACACCCATCCACACCCTCACCCACCCACACCCATTCACACCCATACCCACCCACACCCATTCACACCCATACCCACACCCACACCCACACTAGAGACCTGCGGAGTCAGGTTTTTTTATTCCGAAACCCGACTCCGACTCCGAAAAATTTCTTCTTGATGACTCAGACTCCGAGAATTTCTATTTTTTGACTCCGATTCCAACTCTGTAAAACTCCGAAAAACTCCGAAATTTTCTTCTCAAAAGCAGACAATCTCTAATGTATTTTATTGTTTAATTTTTAACATGTATAAATCGATTAACAAGCAAAGGAATAAAAGAAAATCAAAGAATCATTAAAAGATTAATTTTGAATTTCTTTTTCATTTGTTTTGCAGTGAAAACAAAAAAAAACAATAATTAGAAAGTATTTGACATGTACTATACCCATGCAATAGAGTTCTGCTTGGAGTCAATTTCAGAGTCATCGTCGGAGCTAACTAAGTTTTACATTAAAAATTTCACTTTAGCGCATGAAATTTTTCGAATTGTAGGTTTTGTTCTCTGATATTTACTGTATAAACTGATGCGTTTTGGTGATTGTAACGGCGTGTTATCAAAACCTATGGACATGAAAGAAAGTCGGGGTTCAGTTCAACTCCGATTTTGTTCGATTTCGATTGTCTTTCATGTCCATAGGTTTTGATAACACGTCGTTGGAATCTCCAAAATACATCAGTTTATACAGTAAATATCAGAGAACAAAACCTACAATTCAAAAACTATCCTGTGTTTAAGCGAAATGTTTAGCATAAAATTTAGTCGACTCCGACGATGACTCCGAAATCGACTTCGTGCAAGGTTATACCAACCGATCGATAATTGATGACGACGAGAATTATTGTACTTTGGATGATACTGAAATATTTTATGATTAATGACATCATGTTTTTATGAGACGGACCTTTCGAATGTTGTAGCCAAAAGATGACCCATCTTTTGGTCCTAAAATTCATTCTTAGCATACATAATGAGTCCTGCCTTTCGCTTTTTTTTGTTTGTTAATATGAAAAATAAAGTTATTGTAGTATCAAAAAGTAAAAGTTCATTAGAGGTTGTTATAATTTCGACTCCGATTTGACTCCGAAAAATTTTTTCAGTAAACCCGACTCCTACTCCGACTCCAGAAAATTTCATTTTGCTAACTCCGACTCCGACGGAGTCGGAATCGGGTTTCAGAGTTCCTCGCAGGTCTCTAACACCCACACCCTTTTCGCAGCAGCGTCGAAAATTGGTTGCTTAGAACACTGTTTATTTTCAAACAACAAGCGCACAATTAAGATAAGCTTTACATTGTAGATTGTAGAGCTTTTCATGCTGCATCTTCTGGTATATTTTGTTCTTTTTTTAATGAAATGTTTTTAGGGATCAAGATATGAAATGAAAAGTTCAGTTGTTTATTATAAATCACCCTTTATGTAGCGTATAGAAAATGGCATGGTATTAACATAAAAGAAATGATGGACAAAGGCAAAGGATAAGACTTATAAGGCTGAAATTTTGCCCATAATTCTATATATGTCTAAGCATTATAACAGAATACTTGAACCCAAACTAAAGCCTTTAGAAGAAGCGAGCGAAAAAACTTTTGTAGTGGCTTATGTATTAATCATTCAATGAAAACATTTAAGAAATCCAATGCGAATACTGAGATAGATATTGTGCAAATCTTTTATTAATCGATATTAATTTTCATATTTGCATGGATGCAAATAAGGCTTTCCTGCATTGACTTTGTAAAGGATCTTTTCATTCACTAAATTATCCATAAATCATATAGAACGTTTTCTATTAAATCGTTTTCATCTGAAACATCTAAAATTAAATATCGAATGTTATAGTCATCTCATAAATGGACAACGTCGACAAATATCAACGAGGGTGTTCTCTCTTTTCTGTATCGTACTTTATTTACAAAAAGTAATTCAGTCATGACACCTAAGATAAGTAAAAGGATTGATCGTCGATTGATTCCTAATTGGCTAGAACAGATCGACGGAAGTCATTCTGTTGGACTAGTCCACACATATTAAAAGGACATTTTTCTTAAAAGTGACTACCATATCGACCGCCTGGCTGATGACCTTATAAATGCACGATCATATTACATGCCCTATCACTTCGTTAAAATTTATAAACTTCATCCATTCTATCTGTTTTAAAAACAGATATGTCTCAACCTTTGGTTAATCAAACAAAACGATTACCATGTAAGTTTTGAATTGTATACATATATTATCAATAGTTTTTTTTTCGTTTTTCTAGCAACGTTTATAGAAGAAAAGTATGTTATAACAAAATAGTTGTTTTTATTGAGTTCTATTCTTTGAATGTATTTTAGTGTATCGATCACTTGCATTGAACATTTGTCAAATGAACTTTTATATGAAGTTTTTGATTATCTTGATGGTTGTGAAATATATCGTGTATTTTGTAATCTAAATTCTCGTTTTCAATATCTTATCACTTGTTTATCATTTTTACTCAAGATTAAAATTCGTCCTAGAACACAATCAGAACTTATGCAATCATATGAAAATATTATTCTTCCAAATAGACATCGTCTTCTTTCGCTTTCTTTTGAGGAAACAAAGGTTATCAATGATTTTTTTGAAAATTGTATTCTTGATTCATCATTCAATCGTCTTCAATCAATTGTTCTTAAAGATGTTGAAGCTCACAACTCTTTATTTGTTTTTTCTTGTCTGAAGCTTTTGCCTCATCTTGTTTCATTAACTATGTCGATGACTATACCATGGTTCTATAATCTCAATCATATTTATCGAACAATTTTGTCTTTTCCTGCTTTGAAATATAATAAATTATCATTACCTCCAATCTCTCAATGTAACAATCCAAATATCTTCATTCCTGTGACTATCAATGAAAAATTAAATACTATTGAATATTTAGTTATCGATCATCATTGTGCTTTCTTTGAACTCTATTCTTTAATTTATCACACGCCTCAACTCCGTTATCTGATTTGTAGAAGGATATTAAAAAGGAGTGATCGTTTGGCAAACGAAAAACCGATAATGCTACCAAATTTGACACATATTTCTATAGATATTTGTGTGAAATCGCCTGATCACTTAGGACTATTCATGACGAAATTATTCGCTCCAGTACAAGCATTGCGTATCAAATATCATAGAAATACAGATCATCTTGACGACAATGGATGGGAACAATTAATCAGAACAAATTTACCTTATTTGCGTAGATTTCACTACGAAAATCATCAATGCTTTTCACGTTATGAGGAAAATGATTTTGATTATACGAAAATCAATCAATTTACTTCGTCGTTTTGGGTTAAACGTCAATGGTATGGCAAATTAGTATTAAATATGCATAATATATGTGACTGTTGTTCAATTTTTTCACATGAGTACGTTCATTAAAGTCTTTTCTAATGATAATATCTTCTTTCTTTTTAGTTCTGCATGGTTTATTGTTTCTAAATATCCAGAAATAGTTTCATATTCTAATAAGAATAATATTATAATGTCCAATTCACAGCCTATGAATAATTTTTCCACTCAATTTGTTCCACCTATTGTATTTCGTAGTAATGATAATCCTACTAAACGAGAAAATCAGTTCTTTCTTGATAAATTCAAATCTGCTTTTGTTGATATTCATTTTACTCATTTGAATATCAATTGCAAGAACATCTGTATTAATATGCTACTCAAAATTATCCAATTATTACCTTATCTTAACTCATTAAAAGTTTCATCTTTACCAATTATTCAATCGGATTTGTTATTTAGCAATCATGGAAAAATTCTTTCTTCAACATTGATTAATAATAAAATAACAGAAGTTAGTCTTGAAAACGTCAATCATATTGAACAAGTTTATTTTATTCTTTATCTATGTCATCGTATGCAATATTTTCAATTAGATGTTCCGAAGGACATAGATCTCAATGTGCTTGTACGATTTATTTTAAAGGAATCTGCTATAAACACTCGTTCTCTCAATTCTTTATATCTTTCCATTCCAAATGCCAATGAATATATGATTGATCAATTACAAAAACTGATTACATCAGAAAAACTACTATTAAATTTCAATATCAAATGTATTTGTAATAATATTTTTGTTAAATGGTGTTAGATTTTCTTTTTCATGAATATTTCTTTTTTTGTATTCTTCATGAACAACATACTGACGACAAAAAGAAGGAAGAAACAAAGCGTACCCAAATGTTTTAAGAGACGGTCCATGAGACCACTGATCAA